GTTGGATCTTGCTGATGCCTACCTACAAGTAGAAGTGGCTGAAGAATCAAGAGAGCTACTCACTATTAATACTCATCGTGAACTGTTCCAATATAATCGATTGCCGTTTGGAGTCAAGACCGCCCCATCTATTTTCCAGCAGCTAATGGATACCATTCTATCAGGTATCCCGGGGGTCGCAACTTATCTGGATGACATCCTCATTGTTGCCACAACGTCGGAACAGCTACGAGAACGCACAACAGCCGTGCTCCAACGCGTCAGCGACAACGGGTTCCGGTTACGCCCGGAAAAGTGCCAGCTTTTCTTGAAATCCGTGAAGTATTTGGGGTTCATCTATGCCCACACCTATCAATATCTCTACTCTACGATCATTCCTGGGATTGGTTAGTTATTACTCAGTCTTCGTTCCATCGATGCATGACATACGCGCCCCACTGAATTATCTCCTGAATAAGGATATCAGCTGGAACTGGACAAAGGAGTGTGGAAATGCCTTTTGTAAGCTAAAGACAACTATTAGCTCAGAACTACTATTAACGCACTACGACCCGTCTTTGCCAATCATCGTGGCCGCAGACGCTTCAGCCTTTGGGCTCGGTGCTGTCATTTCACACCAGTTCCCCGACGCGACAGAGAAAGCTATCATGCATGCATCCCGAACATTAACCCCAGCAGAAAAGAAGTATGGCTAGATAGAGAAGGAGACTCTTGCCCTAGTATTCGCAGTGCGTCGTTTTCACAAGTTTCTTTATGGTCGAAGATTTACTCTCCTAACTTATCACAAGCCCCTCCTTGCAATTTTTGGTTCGAAGTCTGGCGTCCCGGCCCACTCTGCAAACCTTCTCCAACGATGGGCCTTGATCCTATTGGGTTATGATTTTGACATTCAGTATCGACGCACCCAACATTTTGGTCAGGCAGACGAATTGTCACGACTCATCAGCGAACACTCTACGACCGACGAAGATGCCGTTATTGCTTCTCTTTCGACAGAAGACCACGCGCAATGCTACCTGACAACGGCTGTTCGTGCTTTGCCAGTCTCAGAATCTGAGATACAAACTGCTTCCAGAAACGACCCCATCATTAAGAAAACGATGAACTACGTCACCAACGGCTGGCCATCAACTAAACTTGACGGTGACATGAAGCAGCTTTACCATCGTCGTGACTCATTACGTGTCGTAAATGAATGCTTGGTGTTTGGAGATAGAGTGGTGGTGCCAGAATCCCTACGACCAAAGGTGCTGAAGCAATTCCACATTGGTTATTAAGGCATAAAGCGTATGAAATCCATCGCCAGAAGCTATGCTTACTGGCCTCTCATGGACCAGCATATCGTGGATCTAGTAAACAAATGTGCTCAGTGTCAACAAGCTGCAAAGTTCAATGCGAAGGTGCAGCCGGTTCCATGGCCACAGCCTGAGCATCCCTGGTCTAGGATACATGTCGACTTTGCCGGTCCAGTCAACGGAACCACTTATCTTGTCGTGGTCGACGCCTTCAAAAGGGGAGGGGACACCAGTAGAAACACTGCAGCATTTTTTATTCGCCTACAGAACGACACGCTGCCGGAGCAGAAATCCCACGCAGAGATCCTTATGGGAAGACGGTTGAGGACCATCCACAACTTGATGCTGCCGAAAACCACATCACCACTAATACAAATCACGTCTCGGAAGCTACCCACGTACAACGTTGGATGCCCAGTATTTGCTAGGGACTACAGAGCAAGTCGTGATTCTTGGATCGAAGCACGTGTGGTTAGAAGAAGTCATGTACGAGGTTGAGGTGGGAGCGGAAGGATGGACCAGACATCGAAGTCAACTACGCAAGCGGTTAACGCCAGAGCGCCCATCGACCGATGTTAAGAATCCGCTAGACGCACTATTGGATACCTTTAATCTGCCGGCAATCCCAACGCATGAAGAAACACAAAAGGTCGACCTACAGTCCCGAAGATGGTCACTGGGCCAACGGCGAAAGACAGTCAGAATGTAAGTGGACCCGAAGAATGTGCGCTATTAAAAGTGGGAGGTGTTTGGGATGTCAAATCCCCGGAACTTACTTGATAAGTGGCTCAATTTTGTAATTTTATTTTGGAAATTTGAATTTAGCTGCTTTCGCGCTAAAACGTGCTCTTATTACCTTCACATCATATTTCCCACTTGTAACTATCTTAAACGCTATTGGTCCATTGTTTCTTTGTGTGTGCTATTTATTAACGATGCCCAAGGACATTTTGTTGCTGTATAAATACGCTTGACTCTTTCCCTTATTTGATTACTGTGCTTCTGGCTGCTACGGAATATAACTTCCCCGCTCCAATTTGGACTTCTTACTCTAGTTAGCTGGGTCTGGGTCGCGTCAGTAAAGCTAGTTATCGGTCTCTGGTCACGTGTCTATGTTCCGTCCGCTACTAGTGAATTCGTAACGCTTCAGATATATCAAAGGTAAAGGAAGTTACTTTGGATACAAGAGAAATGAGTAATTTTGGCTACAAAATTTCCTTAAAATGGTACCTTGAAGACAAGGAAGACGAAGACAGGCAAGAATAACAGTACGGAGTAACCTGATAATTCAGGTGGACAAACGAGGATCCTCGAACGAACTGTGCCAGAACATAGGCAGTGTTCAATTGGGAATTTAGCTTGTAGTGTTTAGCAGGCTTTTCAGTTTACGAACATTATTCTCGAGTATCTTGTCCTATCATGAAGGACAAATTTCCTAGCAAATAAAATGTGCTTGTTTGCGAATATATTCGCGACCAATATTTTTTCATTTTCTTATAAAAACAGTTAATTGAATGTTGGAGAACTTATCATCGCCAATCAGAGTATTCTTCCAGTACATTTCCCAAATGTAGACAAAAAAAACAGATTTTTTTGTCGTGTACTTCAAGGACCTTATATATAATGGAGTTACAAGCAATGTTGCTGTTATAATTCTGTTTGTATATACCTGTTTTTCAAAGCGGGTATAAACTTTTCCGTCCTCAGGTATAAGCTTGTTTTCAAAATGCACAATAATAAGTTGGACAACGATGACTGTAATGCACCTAACGTTAATGCCACTACTAGCTAAGGTATTTAGAGACAGGAATCCTCTGAATTTTAGACCTACCTAAAACACAAAGTTTCCCGTCACATTTTATAAGCATGTGTAAGTGATACAATGCATATAGCATAGCTTGCAAGCTGTGTTACCAACCTATGTCCCTTATGCAGAATGTATCTGATGTAGAAACAGTACATTAAACATGGTGATGTTGATGGTAACTGATTAGATTTCTTGTACACTACGGATTTATCGGTGCGAAATATCCATTTTATTCATTTGAACCTTGGTTTCCTAAAACGATTTATCCAGTAATGCAAAACACATGCTGAGCTCCAATTTTAACTTGGAATTCATACAATAAACTAAAATTCATACGCACTACGATGAACGTAAAAGATGAATGAAAGTTTTCGAATGAATGTTGGGTATCACGAGGAATAAAATCATCTCTGAAATGCTATTTCATTGTTTTAATATCGCGATACTAAAGTGGATAGTTTCACACAATAAATGTTTGAATGAATTCAGGATCGAGGGACAACGTTTATTTAATCTACTGTCCTTAATGAAATTATAAACTTAACTCCTTAGTCTGTTCAACAGTCTCTTTGCTCTTGTTATTAATTGTGCTGCCATCAATTATGGAAAATCAAGTATTAGTTGGACTCAATAATTAGAACCGAAAAATCAACGTGAACAACACATCTAAATACTTAAACATCTACACTGTCGACTACGCACTACTAAGAAACCCATACAAAAAAGCAAATAGTGTCAGCGGTATATCGATAAAGGTGGCTACGCATACTGATACGAATGCTTAAACATCCACAGAATGACGACTACATTCGGCTTTTCAAAAAATTTATACAATATACATATCAATGCCAAAAAACAATGAAATAACAGGCAAACGATATGCAAGAAACAGAACAGAACTTTGCATTTCCGGTTGCAAGAAATGCTGCAAACTATCTAAGCAATAATTTCATATGATACGCGAAACTTATTTCCTGTGTATTGATGATTTCAACAAAGCGAACTGAATGGAAATCAATTCTGTAGGAATTATAATGTTGATGGATCCAACATGAAAGCTTGTCAAAAAACGATAGTAATAAGAAATCAGTATAAGATTAGATTCACAGATGGACTGTTGATGAACAACCATACATTGAGAGAACATGCGGAAACATAGAGACATTAAAAACGAAGACGAATTCAAATAATTGGCAAAAGCACAAAATAAAAGTGACTCTAAATTGCGAAGATAAGTCAAGTTGGAAGATTAGAAGTGTGATAGCAGATGGAAATATTCCCAGTTAATTAAGCTAGTTTTTAGTCATACTCGACACTTTGTTTAAATAACACTGCTATAATGAGAATTATCGTCAAGACCACCAACATACCTCAAAATATAAAACGCAATAATAGGAATCGCTAACTGAAAGTATTTTACGGGCTTTCTAGGATTCAATATAAGAGCTAGCTTTTGATGGACATCTGTTAATCATACGTAACGAAAGCGCTTATGTTTGCTACCATAATTGAAAGAAATTAGCGTTCTAAAAGGCTTAAACTAAAAGCTTCTGACTACTTTACTATATTTCATAATGTAAATACATCGGAATTCTCTGCACATATCAAACATAAATCATAGTATTTTTATCATAGCGCAACCTTAAGTAAGCTGACTCAAGTTCATCTTTGGTTTATGTGTCCATAAAGACAACGAAATACAGTTGTATTTATCACTGCAAGATGATTTTGACCCCACGTACATGAAACTCTGTAATTATATACAATTACTTAATATATATTATGCACATGTCTGTCAAGCCAAAGAACAAGTCAAGTTTTTTTAGTTCTACGTGCTCTGCAAACTGAATACAATGAAGACAAAACCAGAGAGAACTAACAAGTTTCAAGAAGTTATTAGGACAAAATGTATCATCTGGATGCTAGAAAAACTTTTATTACATAAACAGAAGATATCTTTTTTATTCAATCACCAAGAAACTAATACATAAAGACGGAAGGAAACTGTCTAAAATGATTAAAATCAAACAAGGCGAAAAACGCTAGAATATTTGGTAATTTTTTTACACAATAAACGAAATTCCTAATGATTTTGATTAGCTAAAAGTTGGCTTAGATGTTAGGAAAAATCGCACATGTTAATAATGACTTGAGGTAGTCGAAGTGATCTAATATGGAAGACAAAATTTTAAAATGTAAATAGTGAAGCAGTAAACTAAACACCTACGGAAGTGATACTGAAATTACATATACTTCTGCACATTTCCACTTCAGCACTTCACATTTGTATACACATGCTGAAATACGAATATCAATGCAACACATACAGTTCAATTGTACCGCAGACATCAGTTGAAATAAATTCAAATATATAATTGGTAATGATATTTTATTGTTCTACTGTATATTTTTAACCTAATTTATGCTGGATCAAACAGTCGTTTTAGTTAATGGTATGCAAAAGACAAAAGAACATTATATAATCTATAGTTGGATGTGATAAATGCAATCAAGTATACTGATGATTAGACGACCATAATACAACGCAGAATACTGCACAAAAATATGTTGTTCAACATATCAAGGTTGGGATTTCATTATATTCGTCCATAAAAAGAAATCTGTATAATGTTTAGATGAAAGTATGTTGTAATATTCTGATCTGAGGGTTTTACTGAAAATATATGTTTAAAAAACGTGCAAAGCTCAGCTGTTTAATAGATTGCGATCATTTTAATTATTCTCAAAAATCTTACTTCCGCATGATTTATTTAAATCTACATCGAGCAGATGAGAAATTGATGTTGTCGATTATACAGTAAAATAAATGAAGAGCCTTTTACATTTATTTTTGTGTATGATTGTTAAGGGAATGTTTTTATTTGTGTATATAATTTTCAAATGCACTAACAAAGTATGCACAACTAGGGATAGTCAAAGAAAACGCACAAACAAACAAAAATTACCTGCAAATTATATATGGTAACTGACAAAGTACACTGATCACTAAAATAGTGGTATGTTGAAATCAACAAAACCAGTAAGAATAGTCAAACCAGACATAAAACCGATAATTAACTATTCAGAATATATGTTTACTGAGAAAACATGAAAAATTTACCCACTTATAAGTCCTAAATGCGAAAATAGCAGGCAAATAAGCATCAGAATAACTGTGTCAGGAACACATAAACATATAGTCAGTTAAACAGAAAACAGTTAGCATCAAAATTGTATTAGAAATTTTTAAAAATGCTATCTCAATAATCATGAGTGACAGTTAGAAATAGTTAAAGCAAATAGGCAAGCGACAAGTAATAGGCACACTAATTTTAACAAATGACAATGATGTATATATTGATATAGATGAAGACTAATTAAACAGAAGGGAGAAGAATGACAATATGAATAAATTGAGATAATAAATTGACGTTGTAGATTGGTGTGTGGTTCAGCTTCAATATGCGATTATGTAATTTAGTTGAATACAAAGTGCGACTGCGTTGACTGTTGTACCACAGGAATCACCATGTGAAGAATATGATAATAAATTTTGATGACAAATGCTGTGTTCGTTTGTTATGTTGAACGGATAGTCTGATGGGGGAAACAATGAACAATTAGTGCATGGATATTTTTAACTTGTCTAGTTTGCTATGACATTTGGCCATGAATTTATAATAAATGTTTTGAGAATTATGTACATCAAATGTCAAATTAAAATATTGTTATTACAATGTAATATGAACACCTTGTAACAAATTAACCATATGCTTACTGACAAAATACTTTACATAACCCGAAAACTATTTCAAACCATATTCCATGAGTAAAGAAAATAGTCAGAAAAACCACGTAAGAAAATATGACAAAGTAGAATTCTACACAAACTGAAAGGTGTTATTTAAGTTTCAAAAAACTAGTAACAAAGTCTTTTAATGTGGTAAAATATCACCAGATTGTAAACCCAAGAAGTCTTGACACCAATTACTCTATTACGAAAAAATGAAACTAAAAGAAGCCGAATAAACAGTGCAAAGAAAACAAGAGAATGATTGATTCTTAGTATATCGAACCATGAGTTCAATCAAGAGAGAAGAACTAGTCAAATGAATTCATTCGAACGATATTAGTGAGTATCTTTAAACATGAATATTAGGGTACCATAACCATGGATAGAACTTAACAATCTCATTGAAAACTAGCTAACTAAACTAAACATTGAAGATAATATAAATTTTCCTGTCACAAAAGTTTTATTGAAGAAACTCCAAATATTCAGAAATCCCATGTTATATTCAGTTGAATTAAAAACATAAATAAACCGTACAACGACGCATAGGTGAGGGTTAATCAAAGAATGTCACTTATATATGATAACATGAACAGTTCACTTCTGATTAGCTAAAATAAAATGATTTATAGTACTACTGGGAAATAACAACTGTGGACAATAATCCACTGGGAAAAAGTATATTTTAACTGAAACCCACGGACTGTTACGTCATAATACCAGAATTCATAATAAAATTCGGCTAACCTGAATCGATAATCCATTAAACTAATCAGTATCTGACTGCAAAAAACTGATTTGATTACAAATTTTTAATTTAGTGGATAAGATGAATAAATATATGTAATAGCTTGATATTTAGTAGAAAGCGCTGTGACCCCAATGCATGTTATTTTTATATGCTAGTTGAGCATAAATGTATTCATATGCATTGGTGAAATTCGTTAGTTGTATTTAACATTTATACAGGAAATGGAATTTTTAATTGGTAGAAGTAATGTACAGAACGTGTGTCATGTAATGTATGGATTAAAAACGTCAGTATCAATAAAGAAATTTTCAAACTCAAAAGATATTCATTCATAAACTAAAGTTGTAAGGCATAGAGATGAACAGAAGTGCCATTCGATGACATTTTTGAGTCGAAAAAGGTACACATAATCATGAACGAAAACAAATACGTGGAAAATGGTTGAGGGTTCAGAGAGAAGACGCATCGATGAGTAAATAACACAACGCAAACTCTTCTATAAACAATACAACCTAATCATAAGAGATATTTACCAAACACGATAGCGTGGTGGCACGAATGGACAAAGTGACAAACTGAAGAGTGAAACAGTTTTAATGAAGACAACGCAGAAATCATGTCCAAAAGCCATTTAGGGTTGTCACTTTTCGCAACAAAACAAAAAAAGAATAAATTGTATCTTGCCATCGAGGAGCATGATTTCCCACTCGAGTTTATCGAGTTGTTCAAAACTAAATGATCATGAAACCACTTTAACACATATTTCATCATCCTTGATTGGTACTGTTCGATTACTCCTCTGCATGTATGAATTCACACACATGCAAGTCGGTAAATGCAATAAGATTCAACGGATCTGAAATATAGACACGATTGAAGAGGATATAAAATGGATGACTGAAAAAATGACATCAAACAGATGCTCTTTAAAGTTTATATAGAGGAATCAAACAGCATGATTTTGCGGCAGAAACTAGAAGCGGCCGTCGAAAAAAAGATACTGTGCTACAAAATTGATTATTAATGAGCAGACTAAACAAGTAGTTTCAGATAGGCCTCAACACAGTATAAACAATTATATCACACATCGTGCAATAACAAATGAACACGTGGTAGAACATGTTTCGAAATTGTTTCATGATCAATTGGTGTCCAACACCTCGATAAACGTAGGAGTAAAATCATGCTCCGCGATGGCAAAACAATTAAAACAGGTTATAAGATTGACATTAAAACAGCTTTTTAAGCCTTGTGTAGGAATTATCAAGGGTGCACTGCTAAACAGATGGAAGTATTGGGCATTAAAAGTGTAAACCATGTTTGTGTACCCGAAAACAATTTTTTAACTTGAACTATTTCTTGGCTATTGTTACCCCATTTTAAAATTTACGGTAGCGCGACAACTTATGTTCCATATTACACTTTTTCCTTTCCTGTAATCCAGGTTATCCGTTTATATTTAGTAGAAAAACGAATGTTCCGCTAACACAATTATCAAAAAATTAAAGCTTTTGAAATGTCAGTACTGTTTTATGGCAAAGTTGTAGATTAGGTTAGGCGTACCATTTCAAGGGAGAAATTTTAACAGGTTCACGCTTTTAGTAGAGAACCTGACTTGATTTTCAAAGAGACACATCTACATGAATGAATGAGTTTGTACATGTACTTCATTGAGCGCAAGGTAATAAAAGCTTTTAATTCGCTTTTTTTAGTTTTCTCATAACAGTAGCTGTTTGGACCAGCTTACAGTAAGCGTTCAAATCAGTATCAGACTAGAATGAACGCCAAGCACAACAAAGGATAGTAAGTGTTTGAAAGAACTGGAAGACTACAAAAGGACTAACAACTAACAGTCAGTCAAACAACGTAGGACCAGGTACATATATACATCGGTCCAAGTTGTCATAACTCATTAGCACAGCAATATAAACACAGAATTCATGTAGTTACTTCAATGGTAATAATATATAATAGAAAGATTGTATATAAGGATATAGTACAGGAAGAAAGAAAGGTATAAGGTAATTTTAATCTTAGTTTAAGCGAAGACAAAGAGTGTATACACCTACGCCACTGTGATCGATTCTGAGCCATGTCACTAAGAGTCTCCATCCACCGGTTACCATAGTCACGCGGACCACAATCAAATAGTCTGCATCTACCAACATGTCTCAGACTAGAAATTTGTGACTTCAACGACTGATGCCACGTTTTGGTTTGGACGCCCCTGACTCTTTCCAACCATCCCCTACACTAGTCAGCATAGCGTGTCGTGGTAATCGGTGTTCAGGCATACGTAACACGTGGCCCAATCATCTCAGTCGATGAAGATTTACAACCTTAACAACTGATTTACCATCATTCCCTAATATCCTGCGTCTAACCTCACTTTTGTTTATACGGTGATCCCAGCAGATGAGAGCAATATTTCTAAGACATCTGTGGTCAAATACTAGTAACCTACGAGTATCTTCTACTCTTAATAGCCATGTTTAGCAGTCGTAAAGTAGAACAAAGCAAACTGCTGCTCAGTGTACTCATTCCTTATTTGATAGACGGATATCTCGCGTTTGTCATAGGTGGTGGGGGAAGTTGGCAAAGGCCAAGCGAGCTTTCTGAATCCGTGCTGAGATTTCGTCAGACACTAACTCATTAGGGCTGATCAGACTTCCAAGATAAGTGAAGTTGTCGACGCGTTCGACTACTTCACTCCTTATCTTTAGTTTAGGTGTTGACGCAAGCCAGTCCTGAAGCAACAACTTGTATTTAGAAAGGGAGAACTGAATTCCAAATATCCCAGCATTATTACTAAGTGCTACCAAAGGACTCTGGATTTTAACAGTCTTCACCAAACAAAACTGTGTCACCTGTGTATTTGTTATATCCCCCGGTGAATTACGAATGGTAACAGTATTGTAAGTCGATAAGTGAACCATCTGGAAGATCAAATTCGTGAAAATTCAGTCGACGAGAACATTATTCCCGGCAGTAGGTGTATGATGAAATTAAACAGAAATGAAGATGGTTTACAACCGTGTTGGACACCACTTGAGGTTGCAAAACCAGATAACAATAAGAACACCATTGTTTATCACTTGTACGCTTTCAAACTAACCACAAAGGGAAATGATAAACGGATAGCAATTTACCGATAGCAACGTTGACTACAACAATTACATGGAGGGGTGTTTCCTGTCGCACCACTCATAAATTAACTTGAAGCAGAAAATTATGATTGCGTGCGGCTTTGATAGAAAGGTCTCAAAAATAGGTAGGACTGTGTTTGAAGCTTCTTGAAACAAAATAACTGGAATTATTAACAAAGGAACACCAACACCCAAGTTTATGTAGGAATACTTAAGAGAACTTGTGTCATTTATAAAACTCAGAAAGATGGATCGTTACAAAAGACACATGGTCAAAATGAACTTCCAAAACAAATGCATTGTGTAAAAATGACGATGCGAAGGATACTTTTTTTAGTTACAGTAGAAAATTAACTCAACAATCAAACCAAAACAAGTTTATATATATATATATAATGAGCCTTGTTAGTAAAATATTTTACGAACGGAATAATAACACGATTTCAAGAGTATCTTAAAGCTGCATTATATATGCAAAGGAAGCGGTGAGATTGATGACACAGCAAACAAAAAGGAATGGATAAAAAACCATAAACTTTAACAAATTCAAACAAGTACCACCTAACGTACCCATTAACTATTCATACTCGCTAGAGTCTACGGATGCTGCTGACTTTCCAATAGTTGATGAGCCAATCTTTTTCGAACCTGAAAATGCTCGATCGTTGACAGGAGAGCTTGAAAATGACAGTTTAAGAAGATATGGATAACGTCCTTCGGTGTTTGGAATAGCTTGGTGGTTGCACAAAGCAAGGGCAGTAACGGCTTCATCTTTTGTTCCCCATTCTACAAGGCCCGAAGAGGACCTATCACTAATCCTTGGGAAAGGTGCAATTTGGCTATATACAGTTTGGACAAAAAAAGATTATCCGAAAGGAATAGAAGTTAAGAAATGAAAATAATAAAAGATAGATATTTTACTGACCGATAGATATATTCTATAAGTATATGTCCTTCATAGGGAAATCGAACGAGATACAGTCGGGTGAAACAGTAAGTCAGTTCACTGAACTACCACTCAAAATATTACAGGACGATAGGCACATTACAAGTGAATAGGAAACTATTTCAATAGGTTATCCTTCGACATAAACAGATAACACAACGTATAACGAGATATTTATTGTCATCGCGAAATAATAACTAAGCGCCATATTATTTTTAATAAGAATACACAACCAAAATACACTGTAATGTCTTAAATAATTATCATTCCGGTACCAATCATATTGAAAATGATAGTGTTGAACTTAATCTTGCAAACATTATTTCCTACAGGAGTATTGTATCAAATAATCCTCAGTTTACAATATCGAATTTACTGTCGATAAAACATTTTCACGACCAGGTGGTGGTACACACAACATTTACATGGACCAAAAGTTTTCATGGTACAATTAATGGACGGAAAGTATTATTATCAATGCTGTTTTGACTGTTTGACTTTCTCTGTGAAACTGAACAGGGGTGTGAAAAGTATTGCCAACTGATTAGATTTTGTTGTCTCAAGCTGCTATAAAAAAACACTTTATTACCACCTATCACTATTATATTGAAAAAAATATTAGTCATGCAATTAGATAACAATGTGATAAAAGTAAAAAGCAGTGGTATAGTGTTTACATCTCCGCCTATAGCTCTTCTAGAGTTACTGCCGGTCCCAAGCCCGGGTAAAGGAGGAGGGTTGGGCATGGGGTTAGCGACCCCATCCCGTAGAAAAGCTAACTCGCTAAAAAAACGCTAACCAGAAAAAATAATCCAAACCATTTAAACTCTGCCCTCCGAGTTCAAGGAATAATTATGACGTCTCATGATGAAAGCTGAAATTCTTCGGAAGTCACGAGACCGATGCACCTTCTAACAACCAGAGCAACACTCTTTATAGGTACATGGAACGTCCGGACAATGTGGGAAACAGGAAAGACCAGCCAAATAGCAATGGAAATGAGGAGATACAACTTGGCAGTACTCGGAATCAGCGAAACCCATTGGACACAAACTGGACAACAAAGGCTAGGTACTGGAGAGATGCTGCTGTACTCCGGTCACGAAGGGGAAAATGCTCCACACACTCAGGGAGTTGCTCTAATACTGTCCAAAGAAGCACGAAATGCACTTGTGTGATGGGAATCTCATGGACCCAGAATAATCAGAGCATCATTCAGAACAAAGAAGCAAGGAATCACAATGAATGTTATCCAATGTTATGCACCCACCAATGATAGCAACGACGATGATAAAGATCAGTTCTATGAAAGGCTGCAATCAATTATAGAGAAGTGCTCACGAAAGGACCTCACCATCCTTATGGGAGATCTAAATGCTAAAGTTGGAGTGGACAACACAGGATATGAAGATGTAATTGGACGACATGGACTAGGAGAGAGAAATGAAAATGGGGAGAGACTTGCAAACCTATGTGCTTTCAACAAATTGGTTATAGGCGGCACAATATTCCCACACAAACGCATACACAAAGCTGCATGGATCTCACCGGACCACACCACAGAGAACCAGATTGATCACATCTGTATCAACAAAAAATTCCGAAGATCAATGGAAGATGTGAGAACCCGGAGAGGAGCTGACATAGCTTCAGATCACCACCTGGTTGTGGCCAAGATGAGACTGAAGCTAAAGAAAGACTGGACAACTGGACAAACAGCACTACAAAGGTTTAATACAGCCTTCCTTCGAGATACTGACAAACTCCATGAATTCAAGATAACTCTCAACAACAGGTTCCAAGCTCTACAGGATCTACTGAAAGAACAAGAAACTACTTTGGAGGACAACTGGAAAGGGATAAAAGAAGTACTAACTTCAACGTGTCAGCAGGTTCTTGGTACTAAGAAGCACCATCACAAGGAATGGATCTCTATGGGAACCCTGGACAAAATTCAAGAAAGGAAGAACAAGAAACTAGCAATTAACAACAGCCGAACACGAGCAGAGAAAGTCAAAGCACAAGCAGACTACGCAGAAGCAAACAGAGAAGTGAAGAAAAGCATTAAAGCCGACAAGCAGAAATATATGGGAGAACTAGCAACGGCGGCAGAAAAAGCTGCAAGAGAAGGGAATATGAAACAACTATATGATACAACGAAGAAATTGGCAGGGAGATATAGCAAACCAGAGAGACCAGTCAAGGACAAAGAAGGAAAGACAATCACTGAGATTCAGGAACAGAGAAAAAGATGGACAGAATACTTTGAGGAACTGCTGAATAGACCAGCCCCATAGAATCCACCGAACATCGAAGCAGCCCACACAGACCTTCCAATAGATGTCACTCCACCAACGATCGAAGAAGTCAAGATGGCCATCAGACAAATCAAAAGTGGGAAGGCGGCAGGACCTGACAATATACCAGCAGAAGCACTGAAGTCAGACATTGAAATAACTGCAAACATGCTTCACCTTCTATTCAAAAAGATTTGGGAAGAGGAACAAGTGCCAACGGACTGGAAAGAAGGATATCTCATCAAGATACCAAAGAAAGGAGATCTGAGCCAATGTAAGAACTACAGAGGTATCAGTTTGTTATCAGTACCAGGAAAAGTTTTCAACAGAGTGCTGCTGAATCGGATGAAAGACGCAGTAGACGCCGAACTTAGGGATCATCAGGCTGGATTCCGTAAGGATCGGTCGTGCACAGACCAGATTGCGACACTACGGATCATCGTTGAACAATCAGTTGAGTGGAACTCATCACTATACGTCAACTTCATCGACTATGAGAAGGCGTTTAACAGCGTGGATAGGAGAACATTGTGGAAACTTCTTCGACACTATGGAGTTCCTCAGAAGATCGTCAACATTATCCAAAACTCATACGATGGATTACAGTGCAAAGTGGTGCATGGAGGACAGCTGACAGATGCATTTCCAGTAAGGACCGGAGTCAGACAAGGCTGTCTACTCTCCCCATTCCTCTTCCTTCTAGTGATTGACTGGATTATGAAGAATTCGACATCTGAAGGAAAATACGGAATACAATGGACTTCTCAGAATCAATTAGATGATTTGGACTTCGCAGATGACCTAGCCCTCATATCTCATACACACGAACAAATGCAGATGAAGACAGCAAATGTAGAAGCAGCCTCCGCATCGATAGGCCTCCACATTCACAAAGGAAAAAGCAAGATTGTCAAATACAACACGGAGAACACCAACCGGATCACACTTGTTGGCGAAACCCTGGAAGAGGTGGAAACATTCAAGTACCTGGGGAGCATCGTCGATAAACAAGGAGGATCGGATGCAGATGTAAAGGCAAGGATTGGCAAAGCAAGGGCAGCATTTCTACAATTGAAGAACATATGGAACTCAAAACAACTCTCAACCAATTTCAAGGTCAGAATCTTTAATACGAACGTCAAGACAGTCCTACTGTGTGGAGCTGAAACGTGGAGAACTACTACGACCATCATCAGGAAGGTACAAGTATTTATAAACAGTTGTCTACGCAAAATACTCAACATCCACTGGCCGGATACTATCAGCAACAGCGTTTTATGGGAGAGGACAAACCAGCTTCCAGCTGAAGAGGAAATTAGGAAAAGACGTTGGAAGTGGATCGGACATACATTAAGGAAATCACCAATGTGCATCACGACTCAATCCCTAACTTGGAATCCGGAAGGGAAGCGGAAAAGAGGAAGGCCAAAGAACACTACGCCGGGAAATAGAAGCCGATATGAAAAGGATGAATAGCAACTGGAAAGAACTGGAAAGGAAGGCTCAGGACAGAGTTGGATGGAGAATGCTGGTGAGCGGCCTATGCTCCTCGACGAGGGGTAACAGGCGTAAGTAAGTAAGTAAGTAAGTAATAGTGTTTACAGATATCAAAAGTGAACATTGCGAAACAACACTACATACCGAGGTGGTGAAGCACCACATTCAACAATCAACTTGCGCAGTTCCTCTGGGGTATAATTCGGAGGACAATTCCAATAATGCAGAGTATGTGATGGCGGATAAATCCTATTTTTACTCGCCTTGTCTGGATTTATATATCTATTTTCACGACACCCTGAATAATCTTTAAAAGATGGGGTACCATCTGGTAATTCAAAAGGTTTCGGTACGTCCAGGATAAGTTGTTGTTTGCTTGGACGAATCTAGAATTTAAAAGTAAATTGGGATCACTAAATGAGTTTTCCGTTATACAAAAAATAAAACAAATTACATTCAACTGATTACAATAGCCACACAAAAGAAATCTGACAGATAACATTATGTTTAGTGTTTATTTAAATATATATATAGGAGCGATGAACATATAACTTAGTTATGTATGTGAACATATAGATGAATTGAGCGTCAGTTATCAATAGATTAAGTGGGGCGTCGCAAGTGATTAACTAACCAAAACTGATCATAAAAAGTGCAATAGTTGAGTGTGTTGACCTGTTTACTTATCTTAGAAGCCTCATAAATCCTAGTGAGTTGGTATCCGACGAAATCTTAGCAAGGATTCGAAACCTGACCTAGTTTTGCCAAAATGCGTTACCGCCGGTGTTGCTTTGAAAGACTGTTTACGCACTGTGAAATAAGAAGGCGAGTAAAGTCAGAAACAGAGAAAGAGAATCGGTTGATGAGACTGTAGATCCTAATGTTACCAAAACCTAACCACTAGTTACTTCTTGTGATGCTGCCTGTTATGAGAGTAAGTATAAAACTAAAGGCGACTAAGCCAAGATAAGAAACCAATTCATGAAGTCAATGAATGCCGAAGCGAGCCATATTACTTGGTGTAGACTGCCTAGTTGAGGTCAGCAAGATAAAAGAGATCAATTGTCGGAGACAGTGGGAGTGATGGCTTATAATCAGCAACAGTAATGTAGATGCATTTGCTATCCTCCCCAAAGATCCTGAATTTAAAAATTACTTTCTACTTTGCCTTAAGCGAATTAGTCCTTTCTTTGGAAGCCTTTCAATGGTTCATTCTTTTCACTATCACTGATTTTATTTATTTAAACACATGAATATTGGTGCAAAAAGCACCAGATAAATATGCGCCTCACAAATCTTATTTGATTTGTGTGAGGGCTGAGATACTGCAGAGGTGCCCAGACCAAAGCAGGTGGTTTTCTTAGGGGACAACATCCAAAGCATTTGACCTAAAGGTCTGATCCATAAGGTAGTGGAGCATGGTAAGGAGACGCAGTCTCATGGTAGCCGATGACCAACGATTGGTTCATACGCCATTTGTTCCTTCAGGATACTGCAGCCCATGTGCACCAGTGGTTTGGAATCAGGGTTTTCCAACTCCCTTAGATGGACTTTCCGTGTCCACCAACCCGATTGAAGTGCCGGACATTAGTTTTTTGTCCTCTCAATATCGTATACAACACCCCCAAGGCAGTGAGTAGGACTTCCCTGTCAGAGGCTATATATTCGCGTGGCCATGTGAGAGCATTTCGAGAGGGGGAGCGGACTCTCCCTACTCTCGGCCGTACCAGGGCATTTGGGGGCCCACTGGTACTACTACTTTAATAATCACTTTGCTGTGCTGATATAGCGACAACTCAGGCTGATGCACATATGTGAAGGATTCATTCGTCTAAACTGACCGAATATATGATAACAATATAGTGACAGTACGTAGGGCTAATTAAAACTAAGACGTTTCTTATCACTAATATTTAAAAACTAGTGACCTATCAGCCAAACAACAATAAAGCGAATTTAAGACAGAAAGGACCATACCGACAATGCATTGCCCATCAATGGGACTTCTGACAGGTTAGTAATGACACGATCAACACTAACGTTATCGCCCATTTGCGCCATAGCTGATCCTTCTTTAGTCCTCAAAAACTTGATACGAACAACATTACCATAGAGACAAAGAAGGTTGAACAAGCTAAAACAAAACAAAAGCGTGATAATTAAAAACACTCAATAGCATTGACCAATTACCAAAAGTTAGATGGATTGATAGTTCTAGCAAATTTGGTCCAGTGGTAAACAAGCAGTCCGTCCTACAATTTAAAACCAGTTCCCAGTAAATTAATGAGTTTTCAGTGGAACCTACTAAGCACTAAATAGCTAGTCTAATGATAACAGGGTTACTGAAACTAGTATTACCTGACATTGTGTAGTAGAATAAATACAAGCATTACTTAAATCTGATCCCGAACTACCAATCACATCAAGCTCTCTACCAGGGTCTAAAACAACACGACGGAGGTCGGGCTTGTGTAAAATGTTTATATGTGCTACACTGCCTTAACATTACATAATATTGTATATTTCCTAAATAATAGTATACCTACCAGACAGTAGTTACTGTCTACTTAAATGTTGAGAAAGTTGCATATCCACTAGTCAAACCCAAGTCAACCAATAAAGAGATAAGTTCGAATTATGGGTATGGAAAGCCACGCCGACTTTGCGTAAAAACAATCTGATTATCAGGCTTTTTAAGCTCGATAAAAGGTCTTGAAAATAAAACTCTTACCGGTCGCAATTCATATGATCCATATCCATGTTATATACCATTATGACAGCAGTTGAAGCCCTAGCATAAGGTTGACCATTCAATCCATCGAGACCACGCCTTGATACGTGGTAATTTAAAGCCAACTGGTCCAAGAACGAAGCCGGTGGGACACTAAGCCCGACAGCATTCTGCTTAATGAAGCCATCATGATAACCGAAGCCGCCACCATTAACAGACCTTGAGCTTTCGTGCCGAGCACGTGAACGTTCAAATCGTCCTAAGACAACAGTAAGCGAAGACTTTCCTTACCTAATAGAGAGATATCTCCACGCCCATCAGATTCATTAAGTGAGGTAGACAGCAATAGTGGATTTTCAAAATCCCATGAATCTTGATCATTGCGAGTGACAGTCAAGCGAGTAGGACGAGCAAACTCGACCTTCAGTGTACAACAGCCAGAATATATATCAGCTCCATTAAGATGCCGTTTAGCAGTCCGGGCCTCTTCCGTATTTTTAAACTCCACCATAGCCTTTGAACAAATAAAGTGTCAAACTATACGTACCTGTATTCGCGTTTTGCGGAGAATGACAATGCGTAAAACGCGTCCATGTTTGGCTGTAATCTGATGAATAACATCGACTGTAATAGGATATTGAGCATTGTAAACCGTTAACATAAGTACACGGCTCTCGGGTGGCAATTCGGAATGCTGGTTATCATTTTCTAGAGGTCGATGGACCACACGTTTGGATGTACTATAATTAACTTTTAATCTATGATTAGCAAACATCACGGCATTCTCTGAACATCTTATATTTATTTAGTTTACAAATCATTGAATATTACCTTGCAACAGCTCTTTCTGCGGAATTAATGTCATCAAATTCAATTAGTGCTTGACCTTTATGTGGAATCATTGCAATATCCCTAATTGAGCCAAACTGTTCGAAAACTCTAATTAAGTCTAGCTCAAGAGTATGTTCTGGCAACTCCCGTATATGAATAACTGGAGATGGCTCTAAATCCTCCCAATCCTCTGGCCTGTTTCTTTTACGGTTCGCCATCAAATGTCGATTTTGAAGTCCGCGCATTAACCACTGGTTCAAAATAACAAAAGTACTATGGCTTTACACAAACCTGAATATTATTTACGACATATGCAACACTAACGTTTTTCTCGAATATTTCAGTGATTGAAAGATCTAATCATTTTTCAACTAGCCGAGACTTATGTTTATCGGTATTGGATATTTCAAAACTATCATAATATGCAAACCTACTGGCTACCTACAGCAACATATACACTAAGTGAAGCATACGGCTATATACACCTAAAATGTTCACATAAAGTATTCTACAGGATTGTTCGTGTAATTCATTCTTCTGTATCTTGAATCAGTGGGTGTTATTATGTATTTGATTAAGTACTTACTGCACTATTTGACAAGAAAATTAAAAACCATCGGATCTCTCTTCCACCTACCTGATTGTCGATTCATATCATGTTGTGTGCAAAAACTTACCATCTATGGAACACTTGTGTACATACTGTTTAATTCATGGTGTATTAACCGACTTCAATTCTTAGTATATACAGACAATTTCAAGATTCGAAGGGAATTATAGTCTTCATTAAGAGCTCACAAAGTAACAACTCAAGGTGCTATTCCGAAAATGCACAGCCTTTTCATGCGGATCTCGTGGAGAGCGAACTCACTGCTTTTCTCGCGAAGTTTTCTATATGTCGAATAACACGTACGTGTGTGAAAACACAAAACGGACGTAAAAGAAAGAAAAATAAACTCGCACGCATGCGATTACTTAAAAGCGATTTTTACAGAACAGATATTTTGGGCTGTTTTCGAAAAAATTCAACATACACATAATGGCGAGCATATTAGCAAAAAGAATTGTTTTTGAATAAATATATATGTATAAACATAATAAAAATTGTTTGGTTTTTTGAAAAATAATACAAAGGAGAATCAAGACGAAACGAAATGTTACATAGGGCCTTACATGCAGTAATCCGTTAGGTGTTCTGGAAACCTTTTTTTCCAGAACGCGTTTTTTCGAGTCTGTTTTCAGGTACTGCCAAAGTATCATCGTGATTGTTGGCTATCGGTTGAGTTATCGTAGATTTAGGACCCATGTCTTTAAACAGTACCGAAGGAGAGTCGACATGAATAGGGTTCCTCTCTAAAAGCGCTGCTTTTATGCGGCCGATACTGATGCTATCGTTAGTTCAATCCTCATCGACTATATAGTACTTAGGTTCACGCTGAAGAACTTTGAAGGATCCTTCGTATGCTGATTCGAGAGGTCGTCGATGTGAGCCTCGACGTACGAAGACGTTTGTACTATATTGTAAGTCAGGTTGAAAGAGAACATCGGTTGGTTGTGGTTGAATGGAAACAGGTTACACTTAACGCATTGATTCTGCAAACTTAATTGTGTAGGAATTTAAATCTATATTCATTGGAGAAGACGAAATACCTACGAATTCTCCTGGAAGTCGGGGCGTCGGTCCATAAACAAGTTGAGCTGCAGTGTATCCAATGTCAGCCTTCACTATAATACGAATGCCAAGTAAGACGAGTGAAAGAGCGTCAGTCCACTGTGGAACGTTTGCATCTGATAGTAAAGCTTTTAGTTGTCAGCGAAAGCGTTCTACCAACCCCTTTGCTTATGGGTGGTAGGTGGTCGTTCGGAAGCGAGTGATTCCTAATAGTGTAGTCAGACAACGGAAAATTCCAGACTGGAACTGGCCTCCATGGACCGCAATGATAGTTTATGGGAAGCTGAAGCTCGCTACACATCGTTGGACGAAGGAGCGAGCCACTGCTTCATCAGGAAGGTCCCTGATAGATATGGCTTCTGGTCATCGAGTGAAACGGTCTACGCAGGTTAAAAGATAAGAGTATCCGTTTGAATTCGGTAAGAGTTCTATCAAATCCGGATGAAGATGGTCGAAACGAGCATCAGGGGTTTTGAACGAGCCTAAGGGACATTTGTTTTGTCTAATGGCCTTAGACTTTTATCAGCTTACACATGAGCGTGCCCACTTCCTCACGTCTTTATTCATACCAGTCTAGTAAAACCGTTCTGCTATAAACTTGATGGATGCACGAACACCTGGATGAGAAAGATTGTGCAACGTATTAAAGACGTTGCGTCGATAATGTTTTGGTACGATTGGACGATCTTTATCTGTAGATATGCCGCATAATAAGGTTTTCTTACCTGTTTCCATCTCTTTAATGCGCAGTTTCAGGGTTGTTGAGGATAGCTCGTGCTGAAGATCGGTGTCTCCGTTTTGACGGTGGGCGAGTTTCAGAAGTAAGAGGTTTATGATCGGTAAAAAGTGTTAATTCTCTTCCTTCTATAGAGTGTTGGAAATGCCATACAGCAAAATAATTAGCTAGGAGTCCTCTACCGAAAGTGCTGGACCTCGATTAAATGTCTAACAACCGTCTCGAGAAAAATCCTAAAGGTTGCCAAGAGTGGTTAATCCATTGTCGTAAGACTCCCACGATTGCTGAGTCGGATGCGTCTACTGCGATACTAATGGGCGCTTGAGTGTCCTGATGTGCCAGCATGGTTGCCTTTGTAATAAGTTCCTTAATTGTTTAGAATGCTTTTCTCACGGTACCGTACAATTTGACGGATTTCTCATTTACACGAAGTTGGTTGGTTTCATAAGGGACACGCAGTTTGGTATGAACCGTCCATAGAACCTTACTGGTCCATTAAGCATGCTTAATTGCTTAACTGCGGTTGGTTCTAGGTAATCCGGATCGGTCGCGACTTTGCTTCTCAGAGGTCGGATGTCTTGTGCATCAATAGTATGATCGAGGAAATCTAAGAAGTCGGTTTCTATTTGACAATTCTAAATATTTACAGTGATGCCATGCTTTTGAAGTCCTTCGAAAACAAAGTCCAGGTGCTGGAGATGAGATTGGCATATCTCGGGGTACTTATCGAGTATCTGTTAATAGTATGATTCGACCGTGAGTCTTACTGTGACTGAAGATAATCTACAACAGGAAAAAGAAGTTACACATACAAATAATTTGGTATTTTCGTTTATTGACCTCCGTTTGCACATGTCGATGAGTAAATTATGATGCTGTATCGGGGCTATAAAAATTATTGGCATTGAAACATCTGCAATAAAGAAGATCGAGTGGATACGTTTGCGTAAACCCACTTTGCGATAGACGTAGCGCTTACTTTATATGGTGATTGGTTTCCGGTTCGCTGTCTGTAAGTTGAAAAGTGCCTTTATGCAGTCGTTCGTTAGAATTCGCAGGAACAGCTCTAAATTATGCGCCAGTGTCGACGAGGTTGTAAACTTTCATAATCACCTTAGTGACGTACAAAAGGCGACTATGTTCGCCGGCTTCGGTCGCCGTTATCGTGTGCCGGCTGGGAGGTTTCTCGAAACGTTTTTCGTGTCGGTCGGTTTGGAGCTCAGAAAATTCCAGGGTTTTCTTCAACTTTGAGATTTTCCATACGGATTATGATAACAGCACCAGTCAGGGTTATCTGTCTCTCGCAGCCTAGAGGCAGATCGTTTTTGTGAAATACTCCTTCGAGAAGTATGTGATCGTTTACGGTTATGGCGGATACTAAGGTAACGTGTTATGGTATGAAAGAGTTCCTAAACGTCATTTCGTGTCGTTTGAAGTATTATAGACTGAAAAACATGAGCGACAGAAGTTTTAGTAATCTCTAGAAGACGGTCGGCACTACTGAGAGGAATCGTGCACATAGATCGGCCACGTCATTCTCCTCGGAGTAAGCCTCTGCGTAGCATAACCAGGCTTCGATGTTTTCAGACCAGAATGGCATTAGCTAGGTGGTGTATGAGTCTTGATCCCATTATTATTATTATTCACAAACACCTTATGGGTACATGAGTGTTGTGAAGAAACCATTCCGGGTTTTTTAAAAAGTGCAATAATACACAAGTTTCAATAATGTTAGCACTATATTTGCCATATTTAAAGAAGAGAAAATAAAGAAAAAAGAAAATATTAATGATAAAATATTACTAAATCAGGTTCTGTGTAATTGAGAAGAATATTGAATCGGTTTTGAGAAAGAAAAGGAAGAAACTGGGGAAATAGAAATAAAGGAGACACGAAATACGTTATTAGTTTAATAAGTTTGTTTATGAACCCAGAACAGGAATAAACGACTATGCATGTATCGTAAAATGAGTAATAAAAATAAAATAAAACAAAATAAATCAGTGAGTAAATAACTTTGTAGTGGCAAATAAATTCCCTAAATCTATAGCACTGTAAGTGTTCGACACCGGATGCTGACCACATTAGTTTTAATGGACTCTCCTAGCTGAAGGCGCTTGGTCATGCATCCGCACTAGATCACGAGTGAGAACAGCGTGCTCAACGTCTCCTGCGATCAATATCCTGTTTAGATCACTCACTTCTCAATATATTGATAATTTATAGAGTATATCTTCCAACCTCCTTGATTCTGACTTTTGATTTCTCTGGGTAGGCGCGATTCAATTATAGAGGGTGTTACTGATAAATTATTGTCAAACTACAACACCTGTGGTATCTTCGACTTAGTATTGAGGTAAGATATGACGTTAGAATAAGTGTTTGTGCAGTCATAGTTTGGAGTGATCCTTTGAAAGTCATCATTATGAATCCGATGAGCTTTCTAGCTTTGGATACTTGGAATACAATGCACTCGTAAAAGTTCAAACTCTTGCTATATCTTAAACCCAAGTTGTGAACAGTGTCGAAAGGTTTCAGTGTGTTTGTGTATAGCCAGATTTAGGTTAAGACAGCGGCCAATGTCAATAAATTCACTTTTTTCAACATTCGGTGGCAAATCCCACGAAACTATCCATTCGTATAACGTCTTGATTTCTTCTTGGATTAACGCTGAAATATAGCTTTTTTAGTGGGAGGTGTGGATGAATAAACCACTTCTAGGTCATCGGCAAAATGGTAAGGCTTACCATACTGAAAGAGGAAACACACTTCATTGATAAAAAAGAGAAACAGAAATGGGCTAATCACACTTCCTTGTATAACCCCACTGGTTACATTCACAAGTTTAGAGTAG